TCAACTTCAATTTTATAGTGCTTAAACACTTCCAAAGTTTCATCTTTTATTTTTAACAAGTATCTATAACATTATCTTGTACTATCATCTATGAACGTAATGAAATACTTTTTACCACCTTTTATTTGGACAAACTTTAAATCACATATACATGAGTGAATAGGTTCCAAAGGTGCTGTGCTTCGTTCAACTGAATGAAAACGATGCTTAGGCTAACTTAACCTCTATACAAATATCGCATTTTATATTTGTATTAAAATACATACTTGATAGTAAATTTAAATTCATTAATTTGCGTATAGAACTAAAGTTTACACGCCCTAATCTATAATGCCATAAATTACATGACTCAAGAATATAAGTAGAAGAATATATTTTATTTCTTAGGTTATTTGGTACAATGGTAAGGACATCTATCTTGAATAGTCCACTTTTTACATAGTCTTTGCCTACATACATATTATTTTTGATAAGTATAAACTTATGAGATATATAGGCTAATTAAAACCATTCTTGCTTAACACACTAAGTTCTTGCGAATATTCGGCCCATGAAGAACGTTGTTTATGCTAAGGTCCTTTCCCGAATATTCGGCACATGAATAGTCCACTTTTTACATAGTCTTTGCCTACATACATATTATTTTGCCTTGTCCTTCAACTTTTGAAATTGAAGAGTTTCCTATGAACAGTTTCTCATTATCGGTTGGGGTGTAGGATGAAAACATGCATTTGTCGGCACAAATATGACGGGTAGCACTCATATCTACCTACTATTCCATGGAATTTCCAACATTGTTGCATTCTAAATTAACGATCGACAAGTTTACATCTGATATGCCATCATATATTACATTAGATTCGGTGATATTCGCTTGTGTTTGCTTCTTAGGTTTATGACAATCAATAGAATGATGTCCGACCTTTCACAATTATAGCAATTTCCTTAAACTTCTTTGCATTCTTGAGGGTTCGACGGAATGCTTCATTTTCTTGTTCTTGTTATTTGATTCCACCACATTAGTCTTAGCTTGTGGTATATGATTCCTAACACACTTATTTGAATTTCTGTCATCTTTTTCAATTCTTAATCGGACAATGAGTTCTTCAATATTCCTTTCCCTGCGATATATTTGACATGATTCTTAAAATCCTTCCACATGGTTGAAAGTTTCTCGATAATTGCAGTCACTTAAAATGATTTACTTAGAGACATGTTCTCTGAGTGAATGCCATGAAGAATTACTTGCAATTCTTGTACATCACTGATGATCCTTTTTGAATTTACCATTTTGTAGTCCAAGAATTTTCTCAGGACAAACTTTTTAGTTCCAACATCTTCAATGTTTTTATTTCTTCTCTGTGGGTTGTAAATGGAAGACGTATAAAAGGAAAAGTAGGTGGCTTTTGTCGGACCACCTACTTTTCTAAGTATGACCTTCATTGGAGTGACTATGACATGTATTTTCACTTCGTATGTATCTTGATGTAGTTACAATATTGGGAGAAGTAAATCTTAGCCCCTTTTGTTCTCATGATTCCAATCTTATATTTTTCTATATCAAATCCCATGTAGTTCTTTTTACGCATGCTTAATATTCGATACTTCATTAGTTCATTATTTTGGTTGGAGGACAACAGCGTGACAACCTCCTTTTAAGTAATACAACAAGAGAAGTACAAACAACACTCGATAAGATAAAGTAATGCCTATTTAAGTGATTAGAAATATATTTTGTCTAGTTAAAAAGTTGAAATCGACCAACCAACTACCAAACTTGTGAGTTCCAAACCATTTAAACTTCTAGAACTGTAATCTGGTTTGAGACATAATCGAATACCACTAAGCACTACCAAATAATTTGCATCAAGAAATATAGCTTAGTCATCGAATTATTATATCAAATATATGCAACATTTGACTTAACAACAAAAGCCTCACCAAATTAATTTCTATATACTTATTAATTGTCTAATTCCTCATAAAAATAGACAAATTAATTTTGATATATTTTGATATATGCTTCTTTTTACTCTGTTTAGTCTTATTATTTTAACATACCCAGTTGATATGCACGTGCAAGATTCTGCTCAGTTGTAACTTCAGAGTTGAAAATCACGATTGAACTCGATATGACTAATTAACTTTTAAATCAATTTTGCTACATGTAAATTAAGCTTGATATCATTGATAACATTGTTTGACGTGGTAACGCTTTGAGCCATTGATTTTAACAACATTTATTCTAATTAATGGCACAATTTTTCACACATCACACAACGTCATTCATAATGCCATCCAATAATGTACAACTAGCATAATTCCTTTTAAATATAGTAAACTCACGATCGTGTTTGTGTTCTTATCGTGCCACCTTTTTAGGAAAAAAGAAGGTAATAATGTAACAAGAAAAGTACGAGCACCCTATAAATTAAAAGAGTCATGATTTAATCAATTAGAAATAAAAAAATTTTTTGGTACCTAAAAACTCCATTTTATAAGAATGATCGATCCAAAGAAACATCAAAACAAGATGAGAAGATCAAAATTGACACGATTTAATATGTAGTTGCATATTTATAAAAACAGAACGAAATATCTACTCGAGAGAAAATAAAATTCCTTTTATTCAAATAATCATTTTGAACCAACTACCAAACTTGTAAGTGTCAAACCAATTAGTTTTCAAAGAACCATAATTTGATTCAAGAATCACATTATTGCACACCAATAAGCAATGATTAATAATTTGCCCCAAGAAAACTAGTTAGTCATCAAAATAAAAATTGAATACAATCGTTGACTTAAAAACAAAAGCCTCTCCAAATTAATTTGTATACACTCATATTTTTTGTGTAATTCCTCAAAATCTTGCTTCACGTTGATTAAATAAAATTATGCATATTTCATTATGCACATCTATTTATTTTGGTTAACCTCATTGTATTTAACTTACTAAACAAAAGTCATAACAAAATCAGATATTTTGTTTACCCTCATTGTATATATTTGGTTCAATTTGACCATTCGATTTGTAATTGTGATTGGAATGCATGACTTGGTTTCTTTTCTATGGTAATCCAACACTTCCAATTGAAAGAAAGATAAAATTAGAATTTATAGCTACAATTGATTTCAAATAAGCACCAGTAAAGAATTCGTTTGATGGTTAGAGCTCGTGTGACAGAATTTTTAAAGTGTAAAACTATTTTTTTTTGGATGTGTTTAGGTAATTTCTAGAAGTAGGGCCTGACAAAAGTCCCGAACCGAACCGAACTAGATCGAACGGTTCTTCATAAATTAAATACCCGAACAGGAATTTAAATCGAGAACCGATATGTTTGGTTTGGTACGGTTCTCGGTTCTAGGTCAAGAACCGAAAAATCGAATAAGAATCGAATTTAAATAATTTTTTATATTAAATTAATTGAATAATTTTAATTTTTTCTAAACAAATTAGTAAATTTAAATAATTTTCTACTTTTTGATATTTATATATATTGAATTAATTTTATTGGACATCTTGTTATTTATATGTTTTTAAATTGAATTACGTTAATTTTTGTAATAGTTACGAATTAACATATTATTAGTTATATTCATGTAGTGTTGTTGTAAATGTTAAAAAATTTAATTATGGTACGGAACCGAACAGAATCGAATCGAACTCGAACGGTTCCATAATTATATTTGGACTCAACGGTTCCATTTATTAAATAATCGAAAATTTTGAGTCGTTTCCGTTTTGAAGAGAACCGAACCGAACCGAACCGAACTGGACCATATCCATCCCTATCTAGAAGTGTTGTTTAATTAAAAAGGATTTTTAGAGAAATTGATCAAATATGATTTTCTCGTAAAGCTTTCCTACAAAAGTAAAAATAAAATAGAACTTTCCAAATGGTTCTTAATTTAGTGTCGATGATGATTTTTAAATTGAAACAAATATTCCCATGGATAGCATATTCCACACCCGAACAGTCATCAACAGATAGTTTTCAAATGGGTAATTGGCACAAAAACTTTGCCTCTATTACGAAAATCCCTTAGATAATCTTTTCCGTGCAGAAGATCCCTACCGTCTAATTTCATTAGTTTACATGTTAAATTCATTTAAAAGGATGGTCAAATCTGTAAAAACTTCGTATTACTTTACAATCTCACTCTCACCACTTTAAAGCTTTATTTAAAAGATGAAAAATTTGAGATCGTAGTTGCAATTATTTCTTTTCAATTTTGACCATTGTTAGTGGATTTGACGCGGAAACTAACAAAATGAGATTCTAGAGAGATCTTTCGTACGAAAAATGTCATCTAGGAGGGTGTTCCATCGGAATGAAAGAATATGGGTATTCCACAATAAAGGTAAATGCCAGGGAATTTTGAACCAATTATTTTTTTCAAATTGAAAGAAATTAAAAGGCTTTGATATTTTGCCCTTGTTTGGGATTCATTATTTTCAACGACACATGCTTTCATAAAATAATATTATATGTAAACTCAAAATTTTTACATATCTGTTAATAATATATTTTTTAAAGTTTGTTTGGTAGAGATTAAAATCGAGTTAAAATTGAAAAATTAATTGTTATTGTAGACTTTTATTAAACGGGTGAGACTCATTATCAACTATATTTTCAATTTTAGATGAATTAAAATCTCCCCCAAACTAGCCCTTACTCCCAAAATCTTGTTGAGATGGAACTCAAAAGGCTTTAACCGTCCCCCCTCACTGACCCTCCATTTCTAACCAATCATAACCTTCCACGTCGCCAACATATTCTCTATCACCTACGACCTCTTTTCTTGCTTTCCAGTTTCATCACCCCTCGCGCACGCAAGCACACACAAACGCAAACACGCACTGACGCACACCAGTCCTTTGTTCATGCTCTCGGATCTCGGGCTCGTAATTCTACGTATACAGTTGTATTGAATTCGTTCGGTTTTGATTTGGAATAGAAATTTTGTTTCTGATTATAGATCTTTTGTTTGAAGAAATGTCGAAATCGCCATGGGGAAATATCGGCGCTTGGGCCGCCGAAGCGGAACAAGCCGAAGCCGAGGAACGGGAACAGGCAGTACAAGCTGCTGCCGCTCAAGACGGAGTAGGTGGAGGAGGTAATTTTCCAAGCCTGAAGGAGGCGGTGAACACGAAGCAGAAGAAGAAAACCAAGATGAGCTTGCAGGAGTTCACGATGCAATCCAGTTATGGCTCCGGCTCGGCTCCTCCTAGCCGTGGCTTGACTCCTGATGAAATGTTCCGGCTACCCACTGGACCCAAGGAGCGTTTACCTGACGAAATGCAGCACGAGAGGCTCGGTGGAGGGTTTCCTAGTTATGGAAACCGAGCGGGATCCGGCGCGGGATACCCGGATCGGCGGACCCGGGAGTTTGAAAACCGAAGATCTTATGGAGGAGGTTTTGAGGACGAAAATCGCCGAGGCGCGACTAGGGTTTCGGAATTCGATCAACCTTCGAGAGCTGATGGAGTTGATAACTGGGCATCGGCGAAAAAAGCCCTACCCGAATACACTTCGGGTCCAACGGGTCGTCCTGCAAGGCATGGTTCACTCGGAGGATCCTCCGACGGCTTTTCAAGGGCCGATGAAGTGGACAATTGGGCTGCTAAGAAGAAACCCATTGAGCAACCTCCACTACCCCAACAGGCGAGATCTTCCGGGCTCAGGAGTCCTGAGCCTGATCGCTGGACTCCAAATGAAGGTGCACGTCAGAGATTGGTTCCGGACCCTCCCAAAAGTAATCCTGGGGGTGGTACTGAAGTGGCAGTTAAAGTGAACAGGTCGAATCCATTTGGGGCCGCAAGGCCGAGGGAGGAGGTTTTGGCGGAGAAGGGATTGGATTGGAAGAAATTGGATAAGGAAATTGAAGGGAAGAAGCAACAGCATTCTGTTAGCGGTAGTAGGCCTACTAGCTCACACTCGAGTAGGCCTGGGAGTGCTCATTCGAGCAGGTCAGAGAGTCTCACAACATTGCAGCCAGGGATGGCTGAAGGGACAGTGAAGCAAACACCGAAAGTGAACCCATTTGGAGATGCTAAGCCTCGGGAAGTCTTGCTTGAGCAGAAGGGCTTGGATTGGAGGAAGATTGACTTGGAATTGGAACGACGACGTGTTGAGAGGTTCTCCTTTCTTGCTTTTGTCTTATAGTCATTCCTGTTGTTTTTAATACATTGATAGTTATCTTACTACCTGCAATTTTTGTTAATGTGAAAAAAATATATAATGCATTTTGTTAGTGTCATTCCACTGCAGTCAATTCGCATCTTATAATAGCATCATTTTGTTTATTTTACGATCTGTTTTACCTTTACTTGATACACGTGTTGTGATATAATACCTGTAAGTTGTAGAAAGTTCATGTAATTCTAAATGGTGGCTATATAAGTTAATGGCTATTATGTTTGTAAATTAGGCAACAGCTGTATGTTTTTTTGAGTGTATTTGATGTTTTGGTTCCTAATTGGCAAATGGCAGGGGCCTATGACAAATTTGTAATGACAAATTACATATACAGTCATGCATATCTATCCACACTGGATCTTATGAAGTGCTTTATGCCTTTTGTGATTATAGATTCTTCTTAACATCGTAAGTTGCACCGTTAATAAGATGAGTTTCACTAATTATTTATTTATTTATTTATTTCTTGAAGTGTATTTGGCAATTTAGAGTGTTGCATTATTTATAATTACATGTGTGCACAATTATGAACAACTTATAAAGTTCTCTATGGCTTTTGTAATTAGTTAATGCTTCTTAATGTCGCAAGTTGCACCACAAGTTTTATATTTAGATATGTAATATGGCCAATTTCTCTAACTTGTCCCTCAATGATTTTCCGTATGCTTTGCAAGCTTAAAGTTCAATCCTAAGAAGAAGTGGTGTCAGCTATTGTATTGAGGATATTATCCTTTAAATGCAATCTCATTCGATGGGAAATATTATGTGTGGGTGTTTAGGGCTGGGAGTCGCATAAGTGATGGAATCTCTTTGCAGATAGTGGTAGTGGATGTAATGCTGTGATTGTATGTGGGTCATAGGAAGTTGCTAAGAGTCAGCTGTGAAGTATCTCTGGTTTTAATAAGAATTAAGAAAATAGTAGGGAGATAGCTGTTGGGTCTAACAAGACTTGGTTTGAGTTTAAGTGTTGAAGGTGGTGTTAAAAATTTGACTGTTGGAGAAGGGCAGGAAGAAATCTTTGATAAGAAAGTACACTGGAGGAGGATGGATGACTGTCGATTGGTAAGATCATGATATATGTTTGAACCAAATGGTATGGAAGAAAGATAAAAATAATCAAGCTTACCTAAAGCAGTTTGTTGAATATAGCATCAGTGATAAGGATGTGTTTGGTCTAAAAGTCAGGGTGGATCTAGAATTCTAGGCCTTTATTTGGGAAGAATTCTATTAACGTTATAATTTATAATAGAAATGAGCGGTGAATGAGTAGATATTATTTGTGGGTCCGTTGAAATGTGTGTTTGAAAATGAATTTGACCATTTATAAATGAATTATAAATTTTGCCAAAACGGCTAGATCATTTCAAAATTATCATGGAGTCTTAACCCATACTTATAACATTGTTTCATTACATGAAAATATACTTACATATTCAATTTAACCTAAAAGAAGTTGAATATTCTATAATTAAAAAATGTTCAACTCTTTAAGTTGGAATCCTGATGGTGCGAACACCAACAATTAATCCGAATCTAGGACTTCACCAAAATGAAAGTGTCAAACAACCTAAGCCCTTGTTTTATTTTTTCAAAATTACTTTTCCTCAAACTCATTTACGATTCCATGTTCTCCAAATATAATAATTTTGTATGTGGACTCATAAATCTTCCTTACTTTTTAACTGCACATTCTCCGAAAAAATCAGTTTTCGCAAAATCACTTCTCAAATAATTAAAATCAAACAATAGCTAAATGAGATATGAATCTAAATACAACGTTAGTTATGTGAAGTAATGTTGGCGAATGTATTTCTTTGCCAATGAAATAAAAAAAGATTAAAATTTGAACTTGTATATGAATAGTGTAGGTGAAACTAGAAATTACATTAAAGAATCAGAATAACATGGGCAAGTGTTAAGGACCCAACCATTGATTCCAAAAGCCCAGGCTTAATGGGTATTGGAATCCCGCCCTTTTAGACCCTAACATTACCCCACAGCCCAAGATCCGACGTCCAAGGCAGCCCACTACAAGACAACCTTCGCTTTACCAGCAGACCCAGATCCGAGCTGCTGGTATTCGGCACTTTGCTTGTGTCGCCCCTTCCGGGATTCGAACCCTTGACGTGGGGGTGCTCTGATATTAATCGTTAAGGACCCAACCATTGATCCCAAAAGCCCAGGCTTAATGGGGATTGGAATCCCGTCCTTTTAGACCCTAACAGCAAGTTGAGAAGGTGTTATAGTTATAATATTTCTTTAACGTATAAGTTTTAGCTAAAATATAAATTCCTTAAAATAGCTAGTGTTGGATGATTAAGAAAGGATATCTTTGCATAATAATGCAGCAAAAATGTGAATCCTGAGATGCTTATAGATTGAATTAAAATTGAGCATGCTTGCAAGGCTCGTGTTTCAGCTCCTGTAGGGGAAGGCTTCTCGTTTTCACATCTGCCCTTGATTACACACAGGTTCTACAATGTGATAGGTGATGCCATTAAAAGATGATATGGATCTAGTAGCTGTTCATGGATTTTCAAGAAATTTCCATAGGAATAACTTCGACATCGTGAAATTCATTTGTTCCATCTGAATTCTGCACTGGTAGTTGGACGGTAGAAACTTCATTTATCAAATCTTTTGTCTAGAACTGGACTTTATCTGGTGATTCCAAACTCATGTTTATAGTCCACTATTTTCTTTCCATTTTTGTTGCAATCCATTTTGAATAAAGTAATCACATATACAGGAACAGGATTTATGTAGTTGAACCTAAGTAGTCTTTGATGTCATGATTTTGCGAAGTTTAGTTTAGGTGAGGGGAGTTGTATATGTATGTTATATTCCATCTCATCTTTTTACATAAATGCCCTTTTGTCAATGGCAATGGATACCCTTGGTTTTGGATTGGCATGTAGTTTCAGATGAGAATTGAAAATTTTGCTTTTTCTCTCCACTTATTTATTTTGTCCTCAAACTAATAAATGAGATTTCTCGACTGTCACGGTAAGGTGCTTCAAGTAAAGGGTACTCTGGCAAAGAAATAAATCATTTTGGAAAGATATCATGATCTTCCCAAAAACAGAATAAGATCATCCAATCGTGGACAGGATTTAATATATTTGTCTTATAATTGTGGTCCAAGTCTCTTCTGCTTGTTTATATCTTTTGCATACTTTTATCTATGCAAGTCCTTATAAATCTCGTTCCTGGGTACTGTGACATTGCATATAAATATGGCATAACAATTCTATTTTTAACTAATGACAGCAATAGCATGTTTAGTTTGGACATGCAATATGGCTACTGAGCTGCAGTGGCAACTGTGAATTTTATGTATGCTTGGTTGGAAGCAAGCTGCAAATGTTTATAGATATTGTATATAGTGTTGTAATCATGTTATTCAGGAAAAGAAACAATAAAATTAGAACACCACAGAGAGATGGAATTCTTATGCTAACTGGGAAGTATGTTTCAGGCCCGAAACAGAAGAGGAAAAAAGTTTGAAGGAAGAAATTGAACACCTGAAAAAGGAATTCCTGGAAAAATCTGGTCAAGAGCAAAGCGGTTTACAGGCTCTAATTTTTGAAAGAGAGAAGGACTTGGAACTTCTGATGCAGGAATTGGATTACAAAGTTCATTATAGCCAGAAAATGGTTGAAAGGCCAAGTTCTGTGGCTGGTAGAGGAGCTATCTCTATTGAGAGACCTAATTGGCCTGCATCATATGAGGATCCCAGAGCTGGTTTTCCAGAGAGACCTCCTTCCCGGCCAGGAGCACACGAGGACCCTAGAGCTGTCTATTCTGAGAGACCACGTTCTCGACCTGGCTCGTCTGAGCAGTATATGCCCGGATTTCCTGATAGGTCTTCCCGGCCTGGAGTGTATGAAGAGTCCAGAGCTGGCTTTCCTGAGAGACCTTCCCAATCTGAATCATACGAAGAGTCCCAAGCTGGCTTTCCTGATGGATCTCCTTCCCTATCGGGGGCATCTCAAGAGCCTAGAGCTGTTGACTACATGGAGAGGCCTCGATCCCGTGGCACTGTAAATTCGTGGACAAGGCTGAGTGATGACAGAAGAGCTTCTCAAGGTGGTGGGGGTAGAGGATTTGTGGGCAGCAGAGACATGGACAGGTCTTTCTTGCTCTTGCAACCTTTGCCTTTAAAGTTCACACAATTAGTTCTTAAGCATGATCATATACTTGGTATATATTGCCTTCAATTTGTGATGCATGATCCATACTTTTTATCATGGTATATGGCAGGTCGAGGTCAAGGTGGTGAATTTCAGATACTGTGGATTCTTCGAGTTTTTTCTGCTTTAATCTTCTGACGTTAGAGCAAAAATAAAACTTTGGCAGCTTTTATTTAACTCTCACACTTTGGTTCCGAGGAATGGAGCTAGAATTAGCAAATACTGGTACGAGTAATTGTTAAATCTAGAGTCTTGTATTATTGCACACTCTGTTTCTTTCTTCAGTTGCATAACCTGTTTTGCGCATTTTTTGTAGAGACTCTAATTGTAATGCACATGCACCTGGCCACCCCAATTTTGGCTTGTTTTCTTAAGCATTTGTTCTGATATATTGCTATACTATTGTAATATGTTTGGTGATGTGGCCTCAGAAGAAGAAAAATTATAATCTTGTCGATTATACTGTCCGATTTTGTCGTGTACAGGTATTGAAGTTACCCTTTATGCATTCGTGTATGTAGTTTAGAAGTTTAGAAAGTTTTTTATTTTTTTTGATACATTCAAATATCCTTTATATGATTAAGTGATCTTTATCGGAATAAAACAAAACAGGTGAATTCGTACGACCTTAAACCGGTCCTTTTCTTGGTCTCTACCAATTATTCTTTAATCTCTCATGGAATCCCTTTCCTTGATAATATTATTTCTTGCAGTGCCGCCACTTGATACCCAAATTTTGAATTAAAATGGTTCTTTCCTACTACTTTTTAAAAATTAGAATAATGGTCCGTTTGATTGTAATGATGGAAAATGTGTGGAGAGAAAATGATATTCAGGGAAAATAATTGTTTAGAAATTATTTGCAGGGAATTGTTAATTAAGTATGTTTGATTCATATAATTTTCCACCAGGAAAATTTTAAAATTTTGTATTCGTTTGGCTTTGTTTTACATGAAAATTATCCATTAAAGTGATAATTTTTCCACAATTGGTTATAAAATTTGTTTCCATTGCCAAAAAGGAAAAAAAACAAAAAAAAATTTGATTCCTAAAAAATCATTTTTTTAATCAAAGTTTAGTGTTCGTTTCACTTTGTTTTACATGAAAATTGTTCATTAAACTGATTTTTTTTTTATTTTTTATAATTGGTTATGACATTTGTTTTCATTGCAAAAAAAAAAAAAAATTGTAGCAGTCGACTGGAAAATATTTTCCAACAAAACAAGGAAAAAAGTGACGTGCGGGTGGGGAGGGAAAATTTAGGCTATCAAACAGCGTAAAAGATGGAAAATGAAAAAAAAAATTTCTAGTTCCATGAAAAATTTTGTATATCAAAAAGGAGAAAAACTAAAGGCAGAATTGTTCCTTGCATTAGTTATGTGTAATGCTCTTGTTAGTCACAAAAAAAAAAAAAAAAAAA